GAAAGATAAGAACTATGTTATAGAGCCATATATTGGAGTAAATTATCTATATAGTAGAGATTTCTATTTGAGAAGAAAATAGAAAAGGATTTTTAACATTAAAACCCTTTAACTAAGTTTGTTTTGGGTAAAAACCCCTAAACTAAGTATTTAAACAAAAAACCTCTAAACTAACTTTATTTAATAAAATAAACCTTAACCGGTCATAATTACCAGTACTACGGTAAATATTTAGTTTAGGGGTTTTATCATTAAAAATCAAAAATTAAAAAAATTCAAAATATAATAATATTATCTAAAAATTCATAATTTTAATTTTCAAAACTAGTATTTTAAAAATATTTCTGAAAATATATGAGTCTGATTTGTTATCCCTTTAAAATCAACACTAGCTTTTTATCTGCGCGTCCGTGCGGATGTATGTTCGGTATAATTATATATTTGTATTAGTTGTAAAGAAGATGGACATTTATGTTTCATAGATTATTGAGTTCTGATGTCGGTGTATCTTGTTCTTTTTGTTTAGAGTTTTTTTTTTTTAACTATCATGTTGTATTTTTTATAATGTATTTTTTACTTGGTAAACTAAAAAATTAAGTGTAAAATATTAGAGTATCTTGTTTAGATGGTGTGTTTTATTAAATTATATTATAAATTTGTGATTGAAATGATTGCTTAAAATTAGATTTTAGAGATACTTAAAAAAATCAATTATTTAGACGGTAAAAATTAAAAAAAAAAAACATTCACAAAAATAAGATATCTAGCAATTTTATTAAGAAATGCCATTTTTAAAAATTGAATTGGGCAATTTGGTTTTAGGCAATTTGGTTTTTAGCAAGCCCATTTAAAATTAAGTGTTTTAATTTCAATAGTATAAAATTGTAATTTTTGAGAAAAAGTAAGGGATATTTTCTATTTGTACTCCCCTTTTAATAGTTTAGATTATATATGTATAAATTTAAAATGTAAGAACCCAAAAACTATAACAAAAATTATCTAAAGATTTACCTGTAATAGAAATTATCAACAAGTTATAAATGTAAGAAACAAGAAAACATAATAAAAATTATATCTTATCTAATAAAAATGTAGTAATAAATATTTAGATGATTTTTATTATATTTTGGTTTTTTACAATTTTAATTATATATATATAATTTGATGTTAAAACAAATCAAACTCATATATTTACAGAAACTTTTAAAAATGCTAGTTTAAAAAAATTAAGTTATTAATTTTAGAAATGTTATAATTTTTTTTTTTTAGATTTTTAATGATAAAACCCTTCAAATATGTTTACTTAATATGGCTTTACTTGTTAGTTTGGGATTTTTACTCAAAACAAACTTAGTTGAGGTGTTTTAGAATTAAAAATCCATTTTAATAAGGATAACAAATCACTCATATATTTACAGAAAATTTTAAAATGCTAGTTTTGAAAAATAAAATTACGAATTTTTAGATAATGTTATTATATTTTTTATTTTTTTATTTTTTTATGTTTAATGATAAAACTTTTAAACTAAAGACCGGTAGTACTGGTAATTATAACTGACAATGATTTAATTCATTAAATAAAGTTAGTTTGGAGAATTTTTTTGTTAAATACTTAGTTTAGGTGTTTTTACTCAAAACAAACTTAGTTGAAGGATTTTTATGTTTAAAATCCAAAGATATATGGTAGAGATGCTCTAAGTCGACTTGTGTCCAACCCTAATTATGGAAACTAAATTCTTACTAAAAGTTCAGAAAGAGAAAGAACCAACAAAATCTCAAAAAGAACATATTACAATATCTATCCTCGTGTGCAAACGTGCCTTATATTGGTCTCGATATATCGGTTTTTAACGATCTCCCTCGATATATCTTAATAATGTATATTGAAAAATATTTAAAACATCTCAATTTTGTACATTTTAAAAACAATACTTTGTAATATGCACTTCTGTATTTTTTTGGGTCAAGATATTTTGTTTCTAAGTTTAGTCTCCTTTTACCAGTAAAAGTTTTTACTCTCAATGACAAAATTAAGAAAAATTATTTAAGCGTTGCATCTAAATAAAAATGATCATAAATATTTTTACCTTAAAATATTCAAGGTACAGTTTAAATAAAATAAATTAAATGACTTATGACTTATCAATACTATTAAAACAGAAGCACTTTTTATCTACTTGCAAAGTAGTCTACCTCAAAACATTACATTTATTTAATTTATGTTATGTTACATACAACAAAGTTAGTTATTATTAAATAAACACATAATATTAATATGATATTTAAATATATTCAAAATAAGATATCAAAAAGATACTCTTAACTACTTTTTCAGATTACATTTTAACAATATCTTTAATATATTTGTATTTTTAAAATAAATATTTTTAATATAATTTTAATAATAAAAAGCGTAAATAATATTAAATTAAATTACAAATGAATATTAACTCATTTTGATTTATAGAATAAGAAATAACCTTCTATAAAATTTACATATAAATATTTAATATTTGTAACTAAAAATTACACAAAATTATAATTATAATATAAATTAATCTACTTTATAAATTATAAACTAAATGAATTACATTTACAGAATAACAAAAAAACTACCATAAAATACTTAAATAAGAAATAATTTAATATTTTAATATACATATCTAAATTAAAACATGAGTAATTTAGCTCAATATACTAGAAGAAGAAGGTATTGAGGGATTTGGCTTATTTTGGGGGGGGGGGGGAAAATAGTAATGGGGGGGGAGAGAGAAGGGGGAAATAGGGTATAGAGTTAAATATGAGGTTTTGTGTGTGTATAGAGTGCAAATACTCTTAAAACATTAGGATATAAAAATTATAATATTTAATTATATGTAGCTGATACACAAAATAATAAGAAAAAAAATCTTCAAATCTCCGCCAATACATAAAAATATAATTATCATAGATAAAGTATTAAAATATTTTATATATATATATATAATTTTTTATAAAATAAATATTAATAATAGCTACTATTAATATTCAGTTATATGATGAAACATGTTATTATTAATATTTTTATGATTATTATTTTACGGGTTGTTCCAATAAACAAAAAAAATATTTAAAAAATATAAAACATAATTTAAGTTATGCTTGAGAGTTAAAGTACCTATTGAAATATGGGTCGGATTCCGCAGCTGCCACCGTTGGAACCAATGAAGCAAATACTTGACCCATCATATCATCCGAAGAAACGGAAAATACCAAAAAGTTTGAATTCACAGCTAATAACATTGATTCAATTGGCATTGACATACAATGAAGGAACCTTTGCTTTGAAAATGATTGTTCTAAACTGGTTATTCCTCACAATTTCTCCTTTTGATGCAGCGGAACCATGGCAATTGGTTTGGAAATCTAAAATCTAAAACAAAACAAAAAAAAAAGATATTTATTTTTATAGAATTAGATATTAAAGTACTTATTCAAAATTTAGATGATTAATTTTAAATATCATTTTAAAAGAAATATAGAACTGAATATTTAAACTAGATATTATGTTTCAAATATTTATATTTATGATTAATTTGGACATTCAAATCAATTCAGATTTTTTCCAGCTTTTTCGTTTTTTTGGTTATTCGTTCGGGTTTGGCTAATGACACTTTGATTCGGATAAATTTGTACCACTCTACAAAAATCATTCTGATATATTTTATATTTTTATTACGGATCCAATTTTTTTTTTTAAATTAAGTTTAGACGTTAAGTTATGGATTTTATGCACATGTCTACTTTATATAAAACAAAAATGTGTTCATATAAAATTTTCACTGAAAGATTATCCTGCATTTTAAAAAATATTATGTTTGATGAAATTAATAAACTAAACAAGTCTATCTCACATTCTACATATATAGGAAATTCGATTATATAAAGTTTGCATCAAACATAAACCTGCACTTTCAAAATATAGTCTTCTCTATTAAAAGAGAAGTACCATTTATATCTATTACAAAAAAAAAATCATGTTGAACCATCTCATTAATATAACATATTTAATTATTTATATTAATCAATCAAATATATATATAATTGGAAGAATATTTTAATAATTAATAAGATATTAGTAACAAATTTGTTGAGAAAATATATAATCTTACTAAGAAGTTTAAATATTTTTATAAAATATGCATTATTTAATTTCGTGATTAATATATATATATATATAAATATCTATATTGATGTTAATTAAAAATAAAAATTGTTATATTTTATAATTTAGTTATATTCTGTATTATATTAAAATAAAATGCTATGTGAAATGAATATAAAATCTATTAAATTGGTAAAAAAAAATATTTTATTCAAATAAATAAATAAATATCACTCACTTTTAAAGCATATTAAAGTTTTTAAATCATATAATATTTTTATACAAAAAATGTTAACATATATTTTTGTAAATCACAACAAATACATTATATAAAAATTATATATGAATATTTTTTTTATTTTAAAACTTACAACAATATATTATATAAAAATAATTAAAGTTATAAGATTATACAACTATACAATATATAAAAATAGAATGTAAATCATATATATTTGAAAGGTTTTGTTATATTTTTATAAAATGAAAAAATACATGTACGGATGTGATGTGCGGGTTCAAAATCTAGTTAGTTTTATGTCGTCTGCAAGAAAAAAAAAACTATTAATATTTTGTGACATAAAAGCTTGGGAGTGCAGAACCACATAGACACGACAGCCTGTGGAACACCAAAGCATGCATCATATCCTGTGCTCATGCTCTTAAACTTTTATGGAACTATACAAATAAGTGGAAAAACTGAGAAATACTAATCTCTGGACATTTTAAAGTAAAACAAAAATTAATACCAAATATAAGAGAAAGAGTTAGGGATAACAAGAAGGCGCCACAAAAAAACAAAAACATGGCAACATGAAAGCAAAGAAAAAAGCCTCTTTCCTAGCAAAAGTGTAGAGAAAAACACACTCATACCAAACTTTCTTTTTCTTATCATATTTCCTTTTCCCCAGAAAATTCATAATATCAACGACAGAAGAATCATCTCATGATATGGTGATGAAGATTATTACATTAAGTTTCTTAATCTGCCTGTTCTCTAAACTCCAAGGTCACTGCAAATCAGATATCAAACTTGGTTTTACTCTGCCACTCTCTTCTCCTATAGAATACACTCCTGGATTCATTGGCAAAGCTTATATAATGGAGACAGAAACATCATCAAGAACAGAACCAAGTTTCAAAGCCGCATTAACCATGGAGTCAAGCGATTATAAGGGAAGATATATGTGTTCTATCCAAGTTTTCTTTGGAGATGTAAGTGTTTGGAGTTCAGGTCATTACACAAAGATGTATGTTTCTAACAAATGCATCTTCGAGCTCACAGAAGATGGAGACATGAGGTTAAAGAGTAACAATAAGCATGTAGGATGGCGCAGTGGAACCTCAGGACAGGGCATTGAGGTACACAAAACATCACAAAATAGATTGGTTTGAAGAATGCCATTTTTTTCTTTAAAAAAAAAAAGACAGAACAGAACATGTAAATTTAGAACATCTCTAACTCTATTCTATTTTCCACTTCAAATCTCATTTGCAGTAAAATATACTTTAACCCTATTCCATTTCTAACTTAAAATGGTATAAACCTAGATTTAATCCAAAAATAGAGTAATTTAATAATTATTTTTTCATCACTTAAGTTTTTATTTCAAAATGGGGTAGGGTTAGAATAAAATTGATGAAGTAATAATTATGTGTTTGGAAACAATATTTTTGCAGAGGTTGGAGATACAAAGCTCAGGGAATCTTGTGTTGCTTGATGCTAAGAATCTGATCAAATGGCAAAGTTTCAACTTCCCAACAGATGTGATGTTGAGTGGTCAGAGACTTGACGTGGCTACACAACTAACTTCATTCCCAAAAGACTCGACTATGTTCTACTCTTTTGAAGTTTTACGAGACAAGATTGCTCTCTTCCTAAACTTGGCCAAGCTCAAGTACTCTTACTGGGAGTACAGACCTATAGAGAACAGAACCGTCAACTTCTTGAGATTAGGGCCAAAGGGTCTTGACATGTTTGATGATAACAGCCATAGAATAGGGAGAATAGAGCAACCTTTGACAAGATTCTTGGCCATTGGGAACATAACTGGTAATTTGGGACTTTACTCGTATAAACCGGAAAAGGGAAAATTCGAGGCAACGTTTCAAGCTTTGAGCAACACGTGTGATCTTCCTGTTGCGTGTAAACCATATGGAATCTGCACATCTTCCAAGGCTTGTTCTTGTATCAAGGTTATGAGAAACGGAGACTGCAACAGCAACGAGGAAGAATGGCTTTCGATGAAAAGGCTATGCGATCACGAGATGGTTGAGCTGGAAGGAGCTACGACAGTGCTGAGAAACGGCACAGAAGCGAGAAACGTGAGCAAAGAGAGATGTGAGGAGTTGTGTAAGAAAGACTGTGAGTGTAGAGCAGTAAGTTACTCTGTTTATGAAGAGAGTTGTGTGATGTATGGGGTTGTGATGGGTGTTAAGGAGATTGAGAGAGTAAGTGGGTTGAGTTATATGGTGAAGATACCTAAAGGAGTGAGGTTGAGTGATGAGAAGTCTAATATGAGGAAATGGGTTGTGGGATTAGTTGGAGGGATTGATGCCTTTGTTATATTGCTGCTTCTGTCTGGTTTTGGTTTTTATTACATCCGAAAGAGACGGAAGAGCTCATCACAGCCACAGCCACAGCAGCAGGAAGAGCCCATTGCCGAATAGATTTTCAGAGTTGTGTTACACATGCAGACTTTGATACCTTTTTCATAAGTTACCATATCAAAAAGTTGTAATGCATTGAGATGGAATTGTAGAAAATCTGAGTTTTTAGAAGTTTATATGCCAAAAAAAATGAGTTACATTGTGGAGAAAGTGAAAATGAGGAGAGGAAACACTGGAGGGGAGATATTCCAAAAAAGGAAGTAGAGGAGACAGGGAAATGGTAGCGGTCAGAAGTTAGGAGGAGATCATCATGGAAAAGTGCAAGAACATGAGAGAAACAGCTTCTAATTAATATATGTAAACGGTCTGAGTCTGATGGTGAATGGGGATGAGTCAGCAATGATTAAGAAGTAGGGAAGTGTCACTGGATCAGACTTTTGGAAAGACTAACAATGGACGAGACAGAAGTGGTGAAGGGAAAGAAAATTTGTAGTGAATAACCGCAAATTATTAAACTCGAAGAAAGCAAGAGAACTGAAGAGAATTTAGATTGAGTTTCTTTATCAATTATGTGACTAAGAATAATGTACAAGTCTTTATAATCTTAAAAACTCGATTTCTTTTCCTTTTTTTAGGAAGGAAGTTTCTTAAAGCAAAAATAGAAGAGGAAGAAGTTAGCTGTGATGTTGAACAAAGAGATCAAACAAAACAATAAGGAAATATTAGCTAACAATTTCAGGATTTGGAATAGGCACACCATCATCTGCCGCGAGTTTAACACTTGGGTCGATAGGTACAGATGAAGGTTTGCAGTCAAGAAGACCTGCATCAGTAAGAAGTTCCAATACATACTTATGTTGACACATAGAGATTCCAGATTTGGAACGAGCTATCTCTATGCCAAGAAAGAAACGAGGCTGGCCCAGATCCTGAAGCTTAAAACAGGTTTCTAATTGACGTATGAAAGAAGAGATGGCCTCTTCATGATCACTAGCAATGAGTATATCGTCACACACACTAGGACCATGAGAAACCACTGAAGAGAATGTGACCAGAAGAGAGTATGATCACCATTAACTTTCTCAAAACCCATAGCCTTCAAAGTGCCTGAAAATTTCAGAAACCACTGTCTAGAGGCTTGTTTAAGACCATATATGGATTTCTTAAGAAGCATAGCAGAGGTGGAAGACTGTCCCCCTGTCTTTCTGCATAACTCGGAGGAATATCCATATAGAGCTCTTCAGTAAGGTCACCATTGAGAAATGCGTTAGAGATGTCAAGTTGGTGAAGGAACCACTTCTTCTTTGCAGCAAGAGCAAACATGAGCTTAATTGTTACCATCTTAGCAACAGGTGAAAAGGTATCAACAAAGTCTACACCTTCTCTCTGCATGTAACCTTTAGCAACTAATCAAATCTTTTTACGATCAATGGTACCATCATCATTCAACTTAACCTTATGAAGCCATCTACAACCAACAGTTTCCTTTCCCTCGGGTAAAGAGCAAACATCCCAAGTACCAAGGTGTTCTAAAGACTCAAATTCATCATCCACAACAGCACACCACTCTTTAGACTTCTTCACTTCATTGAAAGTTTTAGGAGTAGTGATATTGACAGAGGAATCAATGAAAGCAAAATGATCAGAAGAGAGTTTATCATAGGAAAGGAAAGCTGTAAAAGGATAAAGAGAATGAGAAGAATGACACAAATAGTCTTGCAAATGAATTGGAGGTTTGCGAATGCGAGTGGATGTAGTTACAGAAGGCAAGCCTACATCAGATGGTGAAGTGACAGGAGTCGAGGATTCACCAGAAGATGATGGTACAAAAGGTACACTATCATCAGGCATTGCAAGACGTGGAAAGAAAGCTTTTGCCATATCAGAAATAGAGGAACGGACAAAAGGAAATATATATTCATGTAATATGACATGCCTAGAAATAGAAATACCATGAGTTTTGAGATCCAAGACCTTATATCCTTTGTAACCCGTAGGATAACCAAGAAAAATACACACACTAGCCCTAGGAGCAAACTTATTTCGACCCTGAGTAGAGGTGCTTTTGTAACACAAGCAACCAAAACTCTTAAGACCACTATTCTCAGGTTTATTTCCCATAAGAATCTCATAAGGAGTTTTGTTGGCTAGGATAGGAGAAGGGATTCTATTAATGAGAAAAACGGCTGTAGAAATGCATTCACCCCAATATTCTAAAGGTATATTAGACTGAAAAAGAAGGGATCTAGCTACATTTAGAATGTGTTGGTGTTTCCTCTTTACAACAGAGTTTTGTTGAGGTGTTTCAGGGCAAGAGTGAAAATAAAGAATTCCCTTAGAGCGGCACAAATCGGTAAATGACAACTCAGGAGCATTGTCAGCTCTAACAGCTTTAATCTTTTTACTAAATTGAGTTTCAATCATGTATATAAAAGCAGGAAACACAGTGAGCACATCAGACTTAGCACGTAATAAGTATATCCAAGTTGCACGGCTATGATCATCAACAATAGTCAAGAAATATCTATAACCATCATGTGTAATAATAGAGAAAGGACCCCAAACATCAATGTGAATTAGATCAAAAGTATTTTTACTCATGTGATTATCAGAGAAACACGCTTTTGTTTGGCCTTTGGACAATTTTCAGAATGAAAGGAAATAGATTTATTTGATTTATTCAAGGAAAGGTGTTCATACAAAGTTTCAATCTTAGCCATTGAAGGATGACCTAACTGATTATGCCAAGTATGGTTATCAACTACAGCAGAGCAGACAACATTGTTTTGATTATTAAGAAAAGCAGAAGTTAAAGAACCTGAATCAAGAACATAAAGATTGCAAACTTGTCTACCCTTGCCAATCATCAACTCCCGTGTAAGATCCTGTATAAAACAATCAGACATAGTGAAACCAACCATAGATTCAGTATCTTTAGTCAAAGAACTAACACTCAACAAGTTAAAACGAAATTGAGGAATGTATAAAACGTTTTTGAGTGTTATATTGTCACTAAGAGTGATAGAACCTATACCAACAATGCTCACAGAGTTACCAGTGGGTAAGGTGACAAAGGTGTTGGTTAAGGGTTTAATAGAGTTGAAAAGAGACTTATCATGACACACATGGTGAGTAGCACCCGAATCTATAACCTAAGACTCACTCGAAACTATGGTATTCCCAGAAGAGAGAGCTGATGGCCTCCCAATGAGAGAAAGAGTGTATAAAGGTAGGAAAGTATCATTAGCTTTGCAAGCATTTGGTACGGCTGAAGGCGAAGGAAGAAGTCCGTCTTTTGATGATGCACTGCCCTGGTCGTGAAGCTGAGAACTGAAGTAAGCAATGAACTGTTTTATTTGCTCTGGAGTGAGAGAAGAAGATCCTGGAGGTGCAATGACTTCTGGCATGTCAGTCTGAGAACTGATCGCATTAGCAGCTACATGAGGAGTCTGAGACTGAGATTTCTTGGGTTAAAACTTCCCTTTAGGCTTAAACCCTGGAGGATACCCATGAAGTTTGTAGCAGCGATCAATAATGTGGCCATAACCACCACAGTGAGTGCAGACAGATCTATTCTTGCCATAGTTAGAAGCAGAAGACACTTACTTGAAGAGTAACAGAATCAGGTTCACTGTGAGATGAGTGCCGAGCAGAGCGTTGACTGTCTTCCTGATCCAGTATGTTATATACTTCAGACATAGAAGTTAAGGTCTTCTTCATGAGAATCTGACTGCGAATGTGATCATAACTGTCATTGAGTCCCATGAGGAAGTCAATGAATCTCTCATTCTGAGCAAGAAGTCCTTCTACAGTTCTAGCTGGAACATGTAAGATGTTGAGCTCTTCCCACAGTGATTGAGTCTGAGTATGATACGAAGATAGATCCATGTTACCCTGACTCAAAGAGTGAAGTTGATGCCTGAGCTTGAAGGCGTGGAAGGTTGGATTTATGGAAACGAGTATGAAGATCCTTCCAGATGTCAGCAGCTGCTTTGAAGTAAAGAATACTTGTGTATATCTTCTTTGAAACACTATTAAGCAACCATGACTTCACCATACTATTACAACGACACCAAATTTGATAGTAAGGATCAGTTTCAGCAGGCACAGCAATAGATCCATCTATGAAACCAATCTTATTCTTCGCTTCTAAGCTCGTAGTCATAGCAATAATCCAGACACTATAATTTGTTCCATCTAAAGCTTCAGAGACTAACACTAATCTAGGATGATCAGAGCTATGGAGGTAGTACGGACTATAAATGTTATCAGGAGCGTTAGATACCTCAAAAGGTTTAGAGATGCGAATCGGAGCTCCAGATTCAGGATTCTGGACATTGTGAGCTTGATTCGAAGATCCAGAAGCTTCACGCGAAGGAATAGATCGAGGAGATCCATCGCGACGAGTCGGAGACTGATTTTCCGGAGTTGAGCTTCGATACTTAGAGTTACACTTCCTCTTTCCCATTGTGAATGAATCGAGATGAATCGAATCGATATTAGGTTAAATCGATTCGAGATGATAGAATCAGAGACGGAAGAGATGAATCAGAGACGAAAGTGACAGTAAAGTTGATTGAAGAACGCGGAAGCTGAGAGAAGAGGAAGACGATGCGGAAGACGGTGAATGAAGATCGGAGTTGACCGGCGAGTGATCAGAAAGTGATAACGGTTCGTCGGAGAAGAGGATCAGAGGTTGAGTTTAGCTCAACAGCTCTGATACCATATTAGCTAACAAACTCCAATAATAAAAGAATATCTTCATTAAGTTTAAAATGTGTACAAGACTGAGTATTTTTACTTATACATTAAGTATTCTACACTAAGCTCTATACTATACAAGTATACCGTATACAAACTATATACATGAACTTTATACTATGTAATAAGAAAGAAGATAGTTTTGAACTTCAAGAATCAAGATAGAACAACACATAACAGTTATAACAGATTAATTTAATTCTTAAGGAACTCTTACTGGAATGCCTTTTCTTTCTTGTATCTATGTTCTGTATATATCGAAGGGCTTATTTGTGAAATAATCAAAAAATAAACAGAAATTAGTTTTGTAGTAAGAGAGTAGAGAGAGTAGAGAGAGATAGGAAGCAAAAGGTAGAGAGAGGATGGGGTTTTGGTTAGTTATTGAATTATAGTTTTTTTCTTGGTCATTTGGCCTAATTTCCCTATATCAAAACTTGGTGAATAGAAAGAAAAAAAAAAAGAACCAGTATTTTAATCTCAAAAAGTCCAGCTCCTAGTTGATAAAAGAGGCGTAAAGGAAGCAAAAACAAATATAGTTTTAAGTGGGGAATATTCGAATATAAATACAAGAGAGAGCCACAAGGGTGACGCTGACGTGGAGGGATAATTGCTTGTCGTTTGAGATAAACTCTCTTCATTATTATCTGAGCTTCGCTTATCATAGAAAGCCACCATCGACCAATTCTCGACGGATCTGCAAAGTGTTTTGATTCCATCCATCTTCCTCTTCTTCTCCTTGTACGAATCAGTAGTTCTATATTTTTCAGACAAAAGGTTTAAACTTTCTCTATATATCGCCGGTTGAATCTCAGGTGGTAAAGAGAGTCTTACTTTGAATCTCTTAACCTTCCCCAGGAATATCTATGGGACCTAAAGCTGGAACCTTTCTTCTTTTCTTGCTGGGCTTGACCTTTCTTTCTGACGCTAGATCCTTCCTCCCCTCCACCATCTCAGGTAACCAACCATCTTGATTGATTCTTTACCAGACAGATTGCACCTTAAAGTTTAGCTTTTTCAAATGAATATATATATGTAGTTGGCTTCGACTAGACAATTGAATATTTTTCTCAATCAGTCCTGTAAGAATGGGTCAGATAAAAAAAGCTCTGCATGGTTTTAAAAAAAAATAAATTCTCAAGACTCTTCCTTTTTGTCAGAGGAAGTTTCCAAGAAGGAAAACGTTTGCACTCTGTGTGAGGAGTATGTTAACTCTGTCCTCACCTACCTTGAGAAAAATGAAACACAGGCTCAGATACTAGAGGACCTTCATGATCAGTGTTCCCATATCCCCGGTTTTGAGCAGCAGGTTCCCTCTCTCTCCTTTTTCATTTTTTTTGTCTATATATCTCTGTATGCTTCAGTATTTCTGTGTATTAACAAGTACTGTGTTGAATTGATGCAGTGTTTATCTTTGGTTGACTACTATCTCCCTCTTTTCTTCTTGCACCTTGAGTCCTTTCAGCCTCATTATTTCTGCAAGACGATGAATCTCTGTGGTCACCTCGTAGCTCTCGTAGAGGAAGCTCGTCAGGATACTTGCGGTGTATGCCACAGGACTGTTTCTGAGATTCTCATCAAACTACAAGATCCTGACACACAGGTTACTAGTAGTAGTTAGTCATATTCTCAAAGATTACTCTTATATGTGCTCTACAAGATTTAGTCATATACTGAGTTTGTGATCCTTTTGATTATCCAGCTGGATATTATTGAGCTGCTTCTTAAGGGATGCAAATCGTTCAAGAACCTTGATTATGAGAAGAAGGTCAGAATCATATCAAGTTCCAAAATATTTAACAACTCAACTTCACAACGCTTTTCTCATTTTTTATGGTGTTTGTGTCTATGTTGTTACAGTGCAAGAAGTTGGTGTTCGAGTATGGACCTTTGATCCTCGTAAATGCAGAGGAGTTCCTAGTGAAAAACGACATCTGCACACTCTTACGCGCATGTCCCAACGAGCAAACGGTTCTAAGGCTGCCAAGCTTGGCGGATTCTTGATTGTTTAAAACGATGGTGGATTGCTAGGAACACAAGTTGATGTGTATTGTCCATAAGAATTGTTGCTGACTTTTGTAAACTTGGATTTAGACACATACTCTCTCCCTTAAACGTTTATTTGCGTGCGTGTAAATAATAATCGCCTTAATAACTGCTTGTATTCTACAAAATATACTCTTTATTTTTGTCTTCACTCTCACGTTTCTTTGTTCCATGTTTTTTCTTGATTTTATTGCATTCACAACATGAAAGAATTGTTACAAGTTTTCTTTTATATACGGACCTTTTGGATATTACTGATGATTAGATATGTACAGCTAAACATGGTCTTACTGATGATTAGATATGTACAGCTAAACATGGTCTTATTACTTATTAGATATGTACATCTAAACATGGTCTTTCACAACATGAAATACTTGTGCAGCACAAGTGGAATGGAAAAATATTGAACATATATAAACATATCTTAACAAATAATAATTTGCTTGTTTTTGAATATAGTCTGGGAAAATAGACAAGTGAAGACCATGATAGCTTCAAAGGTTAGCATGGAGACGAAAACAGAATAACAAGACTCAACAACATAATCGATGGAAATAACGTGTGGTTGAAGTCTTCTGTCTTCTTCAGTCAATCACAGAGTGGATCAGGATGGATGCTTCCTCTGTCGTTGGAACTGCTATATCGTCTGCTTTTACAATAAAGGGGTTATTAACGGAAACAAAAGTTAATTAACTACTTAAATTTTTTTCAAACCCCTAAACAAATTCCAAACCTAACACTAACGTTAGCAGAAGCACCCAACCAATAACGGAACCTAGCTAGATGACCAAAAGCCTTCGCTTAGTGTTTGGATCAAAGAAGGAGTTATAGCTTAACCTGGCTGTGTAGCTCCGTTTATGAACAAAAAAGCGTACCTGGCAAATGAGAAATAATATTTTCTAGAATTCCTGCAGCTGAACTCTCTTTCTTCTTCTCATCTCCATCTTCAGATTTCTGAATGTTGTCACCAGATTTGTCGTCTACTGTTGTTGTTGCACCCATCAAGTTGGATATCAGATTGTTCAAAATCCCACCATAATTAGCTGCCTTCTCTTCCTCTGCTTCTTCTTCTGTTTTATCTTTGTTACGTAAGAGGTTATCTGCTTCTGAAACGCTCTCTTCCATATTTTCTTTTGTTTCTTTCCTTACTATTTGTTCCATCTTTTCTTGTGGCGGTGTCATTATACACCTCGTTAAAGTAGCCTCTTTATCCAGCGAAAGCAATGATATAGAAGGCACTACGCTGTTTTGAATCGATGAAAATACAGTGTTAACAAACAGTGAGATTATTGTCTATCCAAAACCGTCCAAAAGAAAGACAGTATGGTTATCCAAAAAGGGTAAGATAATCTTGAAAAGACACGAAACGTCCACTATTCTAGACAATCAGCCATGTACTTCTTACACGTACCTCGTAACTTGTTGTGTAAGAGTGTACCCACACCTTGCACTACACTACACGTGTTCACTAAATTATACAGTATTGATATTTATCTCAATACACACATCCCTTGTGTTCAACGTTAACAATTTTCAAGTTTATTCTAATTTCTAAAGTCTAAACATAAGAACGAGTAACCGTTATGTGATTCTAGAAGTTTTGTTAACTTGTGTTTTTTTTGAACTCCCAGAGCTAAGCTTTTGGCTTAACTGCCTTATGATTTTACATGATTTATGTGTAGTGATATTAGCCACCACACTATTGTTTCACAACGCTATAGTAATGTACAAGAAATTTATATTATCTTAAACGTTGGTTGCTAGTGGATGTGGGAAGGAGGAGAACATGCGTTTTTGACGCCACAGATCCTATGCTTAAGGCTCCAAGAAACAAAACCTGCAAGCCACAAGCTTCTTGTGAGAAACAAGATTGCCACACCGTTGCAATCAAATAAGAGACAATATTACCTGAAGCCGCAAGAAACAGTATCATCTGTGAGAAAGAGATCTTTCTTGTATGCACATTCAAGAAAACAATTTTTGAGACTGAGGAAAAGAGTTGTTGAACTGAAACACTTCAAAATATATATTTTGTTAGCCGAAAGTTGAAATTTAGTGAGACGTTAGGTTTGAAGCTTTCTCGTGTGTGCAAAACCGATATTAGTGGCCTCTTTATTGTGTTCACAAGAGCTTAAACCAAGTAAAAAAGGTCAACTTTCAAACCATTTGGAAAATTTACCATAAAACCAAACAAGAGCTTAAACCAAGATGTTGAAAATGATGTATAGTGTATGAATTGTCTCTTTGTTTTCTTGTTTCAGGAGGATAAAAATACATCCCCGGATGCTTTGAGAATCAATACAAGAAGCATGTAAAAGAAAAAACGTGTAGCAAGTTACAGATACAATTACATAATTCCAGTAAAGAAAAAAAAAACAATAATACATGTAGAAATAGGACAGTAGAAGAAGTCCAGTTTCACCAGAGGTAAGTTCTTCTTTGTTGTTTCCCCTTTTAGGTCAGAAAACGTATTACCTTAAGCAGCAAGAAACACTCCCTGCATTGCTATAGTATCCCCACCCCTCTCCAATAACCAAAATTAAAGAAAAAGTATATATATTATAAGAGTTTCTATTTACATGGCTATGCTTCTTCTTCTTCTTCTCTGTTCACTCAAACCAAACCTTGTTGTTGATTGCTCAGTCAAGGAAATGAAACAGTGTAGAAGCATACCAAGAGGGAAGAAGAGAAGAGATTTTGTTTTCTTCTACTTTTGATCGGTAGCATTTGATTCACGTGCTTTGTGGTAGAGGTCGAGTGTATCTGCATGACCTGGATCTATACACAAAGCTGCTTCACAATCTTTGATAGCAGATGCACCTTCTCCCATGGAATCATAGAAAGCTGCCCGTAGATGTAACAGCTGCAGATCTGGTTTAAAGGATATCGCCCTCGAGAGCTCCTCTATGGCTTCATTTTCTTTGTGGTCGTCCATAAGAACTGCAACCAAAGAGTTCAAGTTAAACAAAACCATCATAGAAACTGTATATCAGAAGAAACTAGATCTAGCTTTTGTAATAAGCCGTACCTGCGGCTCTGTATCTATAAGGATAGGTACGGAGAGGGTCGAGTTGTGTAGCCAGGCTGAGGTCGCTTTGTGCCATTTCGCGGTCACAGTATTCAGAACGCTTCTCATATGCTGATGCATTGTTCTGAGCCTTCTCTATTAGCTTTGTCATCTCATCATAAGCAGCTTTACGTTCATTTTTCAGATGATAAACACGAGCAAGTCCTTGGTGAGCTCGTGTGTGCTTGATGTTGAGCGCGTTCGTATAGCAATCAGCTGCTAGATCCAGCTTATCACAATCCACATATACACTTCCCAGGTTGTTCAAAGCCTGCAGCAAATGCACCAAAGAAACGTTCATCATAATGAACCATTCATATGTCAATGCCATTAGATAGTTAACAATTTTTTGTTACTTACTTGTCCCTTACGGAGAGCATCAGAAGGGCACCGAAGTGCTTCTTCAAGGAGCTGGATAACGTACTCTGAGGACTTAGGGTCGAGGGTAGAGTCTGCAAGAGCATAAGCTTTGAGGAAAAACACTTCGAAAGATCTTTGTATGGAAATTGACTCCTCAGCCTTGGCCAGGGCTTCCTCGCGGTGGCCTGTATCATACAATATCCATCCTTCATACACAAGTCTCTCATGCTTCAACTTTGAATGGTTTCTAGCCAATCTCAGACAACGCATTGCTGCCTTTTGACAATTTAGCCTGTCCGTATGAAACCATCACTTGTCACAATTTAGCCTGACACAACCTAAACTGAAATAATAAAACAAAAGTTCATTGAGAAGCGTACCTTAGCAGAAGAAGAGACTGTCTGAACCGCAAAAGACTATTCCCTGGATCATGTGCAAGCATATCATGAACAACTGCTAGAGATCCAATATCATCCACAGAAGACCAATGATCAAACAGCTGCATCCAGCAATCAGCTTGGCTCCGCTGATGAGCCAGAGGACGGAGCAGCTCCACCATATGATCAGCATGGATCTTACCATTAAACATCATAAAGTTGGGCTCCAATGTCAAAAGTGCCCGGATATCTTTCAAAGCACCCTCGTAATCCTCCTTGCCTATAGAAATCCAAGCCCTCATCTCCAGACAGTCAGGCGAGGCCTTGAATCCAAGAATCTTGTTCAGTTCCAAGATGGCAGCACCAAACTGATTCTCCTCCACCAACGCCACTGCCCTGAACTTGTAGGGGAATGTCAAAGTCGGGTCTAACTCGGAAGCTATATCCAAATCAAGCAGCTTTTCTTTACCACTGCAATACAAGGACCTCTCCTGGTGCATCCACCCAGTAGCCTTGTAATCCGACATCAGCGAGTTGATGATCTTATAAGCCGAGTACCTATGGTCACGCTTGAACTTAGACCTAGCAACACCCACGAGGGAGTAAAGATGACCAGCTTCAACAGCTGTGTTAAACGCTCTCTGAGCATCTTTATACTCTTTCCTCTCCAGCATCACAACCCCTAGTTGGTGGTAAGCAAGCTGTTTCTCCCAACTCTCCACCGCGCATTCAACCAAACGTTCCAGAATCATCACAGTTGTGTTGGATTTCATATCATCTTCCATAGCAATCTGGCTTAAGAAGAAGTACAACGCAAAAGAAGCATGGCCAAGAGACGCCAATCTCTCCCTTCCCTCGGCGCTGCAAAAGATCTTTATAACGTTGGGATCATGCATAGAGCTAGGCAACTCCCTGAGGAAAACCTGGAGACAAGCAGCCACAAGAAGATACGCAGCCTCCTCTAAACCATACTCGATCAACAACATCGCCTCGTCCAAAGAATTAACAAGATGCGCCAAATGCGTATCGCAAGAAGACTTCAACTCATCACAACAAAACCTATTCGCTAGCTTGAGTAGCTCCAAGACAACGTTAGGAGAGAAGCCATCTAACCTCTTAGTCCTGCTGAATATCTCAGCAGCTCTCATCCCTTCAACAGAGATTCCGTTCTGCGTGAAACTAATCGTCCCTAGCTTCATCTCTCTAAACCCTCCGTACAACATGGCCTTAAAAGGCCTCGACAAAGACGCTATCTTGTACCTCACGCAACGAACCTCCTCGTCGCCAATACAAAAGGACATGTCATAATCCAACGCTTCCTCAGAAGTCGAACATTCTTGAACAACATCAACGTCCTTTGCTCCGGAGCAGAGACATGGATCGTAAACGGATCCCGGGTCATACCCGGGAACAAGAGTGGCCTTGGGACATTCCAAGATTCTCCCACAGCAATCCATAGAAGACGTTCCGATCAACTCATCCTCCCTCCTCTCGAATCTAAGCCACGACGACAAAACAACTTTCGCGTGGACATCAACGGCGTGCTGTCTCGACGATCGGAGACTCCGCCGGAAAAGCTTGGGATCGGATAAGCCTCGGAAGACGGCGCATTGTTCTAAAAAGGCTCCGGATTTGTCGAGCTGCGGGGAGGCGTCGATGCGACGGTAGAGATGAGCCATCTTCTCAACCAAGTCGGGGAATTTCAAGGAAGGATCGATCTGAGGCTCGAGGAGATCGGTGAGGGGGAGGCCATAAGGGAGGAGGGATTCAGGGGAGACGACGGGTTGATTATATGTACGGCTTGATTTGGATCGGATTGAGTTTACGCGGAGGTGATCTTGAAGATGTTGTAGGAGCTTATCACCAACTCCTCCTCCGGTTCCGGGCGGAGGAGGGTTGAGAGCGTAGACTTGCGTACCTTTACAACCTTCAGCAAGTTTTAAACTTCGCATTGTTGTGAATGGATTGTGATGATGCATCTTCAATTTAGCCAAAACCCAGATCGAAATGAACCAACTTTCAGATTCATATCAACGCTTTACCAAGATCTGAAATATGGGTTTCGGTCAAAACATCGAAATGATCAAAACAAAATTTCTGGATTTTTTTTTATAAAAAAGAAAGATCTTTCGTCACGGAATTTGAAGAACTTTAACGAAGGTCACTCTTCGTCGTCGTCTTCTTCTCCGGGATTGTTTTTGTATTTGTTTTTGCAGTGTCTTCTCAGGTTCGTTTATTCTTTGTTGCCACTAATTTACGAATCTTTCCTTAAAAATAGAGAGAGGAAGATTCTTCCTCCGTTCGATCCTCTTCTCTTCTCTCTCTCTTTTGGTTTTTTGTTTTTTTTTTGGTTTTCTTACCCTGGCTTTAATGCGTTTCTAATAATGCAAACTTAATTAAATTTAATTTAGG